CATATAAACTAGGTAATAAAAATTAATCTTAATAATATTATTTAATATTATTAGATACCTAATGTTATTTCAAATGGGAAACATATTCTAAACGTGTGATAACTGAGAGGTATTTTGAACTTCAGAGGGTCTTTTTGAGGTGAAGGCACACCCTGCTATGAATTCCTAGATTCGCCTATGGTTTAGAATGTTTATATCGTTTAAAATGTATTTATCTCGCTTTTTTAGAAACATTGATTATTAAATTATTAGAAACTCAGGCAGTAAATTGGTAGGATGGGAGTATTAAAATGGGGACTAATTTGATTAATATGCTTGGAAGTGTGTAATGCTATTCAGTACAACAACTATTATAGCATCACTAACTCTGTTAAGTAATAAAGTATTTTCCCAATCATAAACCCTGCAGAAAGCTATACACTGTTGTAGAAATTCAATTCGTAGCTTTTATTATACTAAGAGTATGATATATTTTTACATATTATATTATTTGTCAAAAATCTGTTTACCGTTTACATTCAAAATATAACAAAATAAAAACTGTTAGTAGACTTAAAAACTCTATATTGATGAATGAACTAGGTGGTTATGAGATACTGAATAAAATAACAAGTGGTGGCTGGAGAATGATAGAAATAAGTGGTTGCGATTGGAGTATCGGCAAATTAGTTTAAACTTTTTAAATAATGACGTGCTTAGACTATTTTGTTTTTTCTCAAATGTAGGTATATATTGAGCCATTTGTTTATATCAGAACAACAGATTTAAATGATGAAAATAATAAATAATGTGGTTCAGGAAAGACAGTGGGAAAAAGTCTCCCAATGGAAGTAAATAAACGTGAATATTACCTAGACTAAATTGTGTTATTAAAATTAAGTTTCATTAAAACAAATCGAGTAAATTAAAACTAATAAAAACTACGCATTTTTAAAACTAACATGGCAATACCTACTTGACGAGATGTGAAAGTAAAAATGAAAAATATTTTTAAAAAGTACAATTTAAGAATCATCAATTTTTATAATTTATAAAAAGAGCTAACTTAGATTTTTTTATTTATATTTCAAAAAATTAAAAAAGCAAATACATTTAAAGACTTCAAAACAGGTACTAATTTTCTGATATTAATAGTTAAAGCAATATGGGAAATAAATTTTAAGGAAAAAAGATTTCTTTATCTTCAGTTTAATGAAAAAATCAAATAGTTGTGGATATTAATATATTATTTTTACTTTGTAGGTTTATAATATTAAAATATAAAAAAGCGCACCCATTGCACTGGTGTAGCTAAATTATCTAACCGGAACGCCGTGTTATCATTATGTTTTTGAAATGAAACTCTACAATAATATCATATAGGCATATTGGTGTGACCCGGTGGTTAGTCGCAGTCACTCATACTGCAGTCCAGCATCTAGTCACTAGTTTCCGGATGGATGACCACCCGGATTTTAGACGAATCATTGTCCACATACTCACGTATTTTTAAACTAACCGTAATCCTCTTACAACATGTTAATGGTCATAGCTGCCGACACATAAGTTCAAAAAATTATATTATAATAAGATCATGAATCATATAATAAATTTATAACTTTATAACTTATAAAATAAGGAATAAGATATTGTGTAGATATCGTTGTATGTAAAGTATATTTATTAATGATTTGTTTAGTTTATCTCATATTATATTATATATTATAATATATTGGAATAAGCTAACCGTTAATAAATTAAAATACACTAATATCTAGTTTAAGTCCAGATTAATCATATATACATTGGTTTATTAGCCACAAATAGATTTATTAAATACAATAAATACTTATAATAAAGCTTAAGATGTGTTTTGTTAACTTGGCGGATCTCAACGACAGTGTCTGTCGAAGTGCCAATTAAGTACAAATCTAATGGCTAATGCTAATACTTAGGTAATTATATTATATTGGTAAATTAACATAATCATAAGCATAGCCTTATTTAATAATTACTATTGTCATTGCCAGTATACATATTGGACGATAATATTATGTTATATAAGTCTTATAAAATATTATTCTAAAAAAAATAGAAACATACGTTGTAATTATTAAAAAAAAAAAAGTACAACACGAAACACGAATTTACATAATATTAAGTAAAAGTCCAAACCAAAAGCAAAGCAAAACAATAGTTTAAGAAATAATGCACAAACGCAATCGCGTACAGACTTAATTCTTAGTTATTATAAAAATTACATAAAAATATTAGTATACCCTATACACGATATTACTATACATACCACTATTACATACCTATAGTATTATTATATACCATGTCGTTAATAGCTTATAAGTACCGCGTACCTGTCGCTTATGTTGTTCATTAAAAGTCACCGAGTGATAATATTTTATTCAAGATTTAGTTTTTAACCGTATCAGTGGATATCGTCTCCAAAACTTTAGAATGTTCATAATATTTATTTTTCGTATTCGAGTCGACCAAAAGAAACAAAACCGTATTGAAAAACATCACGAGTAATAGTCGTCCATATAAACGGTATAAGGACGAAATCGAATTTCAGTGTCTGCCTAGCTTTTGCCTTTTGTATACAGTCCGACGAAGGGGTTTTGTGCATGGTTACAACTAAAAAACTATATATATATATATATATACAGTTCATGACTGTGAATTTTAATGACAGCACTTGTATTTTTCGTAGAAGAAATTGAGTTCGATTGAAATGTATTTTACATATTTTAACATTATTACCGATAGAGTGTGTAAATGTGTACTAAAATAATACTCGTATACCTTCTCTCGATAAAAAAATACTTATATGCTACTAATTGCATAACATATTATTATACTTCGAGTAGTTTATGGTTTTTTTTTTCTAAAATCTAGCGGTTGTGATCGGCACTTTGTCAATTCCGATGTTATAATATTATGTAACTTAACTTTCAAAGATGATCTACTATTTTAGATTATTGTCAATACGACTTGTCGGTAATAATAAATTATGAATAAAGATGAAAAATATTCGTAACGCTATGATCGGTTGTATTATAATATACTTAAAATCGATATAATTTATAAATGAAATTAACAGCTTTTTTATGCTTGATGAATACATGGTTTATTAAAAATAAATTTATATAGTTTTTAGTTTCAGGACGATTTTGTGTCATGATTTTAATGCATATTATTATTTTATTAGTGTGTCGAAATCACAGCATTGCACAGTATTATACCTATATACCTACCTATAACGAATACTCGCGATACATATATTATAGTGATGTGTTATTTTTATATATGAGATTATCGATTAACACTCATTTAGCGATTTTTCGGGAATCATTTTGTCGGAGCAGACGCCAATATTTTCGTGAGCACATCTTCTCCTCGCTCGCTCTTCGATGGCGCCGAGCAGCTTCTTTCGCGGACCCAGTGGCATACCGAGCGAGATCAAGTCTCTGTCGTCGAGCATGAACAGCGCTTCCAGGTCCACCTGTTGCTCGACGAACTTGTTGACGTACTCGCCGACGCCTGCCGACACCAGGAACTTGTGCACGGCCGACCACTTTGTACTGCGCCCGTTCAGTGCGATGTTTTCCTCTGAAATCCAAGAGAGACATGATAAGTCCACTGCATTGTCGTAGAACCTTGGTGGTGAATCGATAAGAACTTTTGTGCCCATTACTACTACAATCCTCGTAATCGATTCAACATCGAAAAGTCTTATACTTCCGCGAAGTATTATTACTTATTATGCAGGTACTCAATACTCGTGTATATAGCCATAAAATATGTATATAACGTAAATGTTTAAAAGGACCATTATTTAGTCATTCGGTGAAATTCAATAAATTGATTAATATTTTTAAACAATTAAAATTATTACATTTTTTAAACATTCTAACTACCTAAGTAAACTACTAATTTTTTAAAAATAATAAACCTATTTGCATATTAATCAGTGATATATTATAGCACTATAACTCTTCTATTAATTTTAAAAATCGTTCTGGACAAAAATTTATCGCTCGCCTAAAAAGCTTGAAAATTGAATACAAGGTTCCTCGCAAATAGTTCATATTGAAACCTAGAAATAATTATATAAACACAACTTAACGTTTGTACTTCAAATTTGGACGGATTAGATATTTAAATTTTAAACTAAGAATAACGGTTTTAGTATGATAACATTATACAATATTACTATAACGCTGCGGGGGCTTATAATGCTTATATGTTCATTTGCTTGTACCTACATATTATTATTATTATTATATACATCAAAATATCCTAAGTCCGTACACAACGGTGTAATTAAATCGTGAGCGTGTGTGGGATTCAATCGGATTATCGTTTGGATTTATATACATAAAAAAAAAGAAACAACTTCGTCGAATATTAATCGTACCGCGATTCTGACGTCACCAGTGATATTTTAAACGGGTCGTACTGCAGTGYAACGTTATTAATTTTTTTAGTTTTTTGACACGTGACCCACGCTATAATAATAATATGCATGATGTATTTTATCCGCATAACTACGATAATTATTATTATTCACGGTAATATATACTACGATGGACGTATTGGATTTAGTGTTACCGTCGCTGTTTTGAAATTCGTCCCAGGACATTGTGCTGCTCGGTTGGTTCCGCTTCACTAGACTTCCAGCGCTGCCAATACTGCACGCCTCGTCTTCGATAGTCGCCCTAGACACATCTGGTACTGGAATTGTGGTCACGCTGAAAATGTATTAGTTGTCTATTAGCAAGAATTATTATATAAGTCATCAGTACTATATATATAACAGTATGTACAATGTACATACATGCAGTACTCAGGCGATAGGTGGATACTAGCTGCTTTAGATATTAAAATTAACTACAAATTATAATTTTGAACAGTACGTGTAGGTACAAGTCTTTAAATTCCAAATAGAATTTCTCCATATCAATATTTTAGAGCTTAAACATAAACATTTTAGTTAAGTTAGAAATTTGAACCATTCACTTAAAATCCAACCAAATCAAAAAAAATGTTAAATATAATTTGTTGTAAATTGCATTAATATTGGCTCCAAAAATTAATTTGTATTTTTAATTTTTTTGAAGATATTTTTTGATCAAGTATTAAAATGTCAGGTCTACAGACTATTATTCTTAGTGTTGWACTATTAAATAATTAAACTAAATTTCATGATTTAGCAAATGAACTGTTTTTAGTCCAATTTTGACAGTTAAACATAATTTTTAACTTTTAAGACAACCACTCTTAATAAATAAATAGTAGATTCAAGGGTTTTCCAAATTTATTGAAAAACTATTGAGAATTTCGAAAAATTGCCTTCTCGTTAAAATACCAAGCTGAGGTGATTTTTAATTTTATGATAGATACAAAAAAACTTTTAAGACCAATAAAAGTACATAGGATAAAAAATAAATATCATTGTGAAATTCCATTCAAATCCCTTCACTCAAAATCTAAAATAACAATTTAATGTAATTTTAATTTCAATTTAAACATGCAAAATAGGAAAGTACGAAGTACTCATATTATTATTTTTATTTTTGGAGTGTTTTTAGCTTTGAATAAATTATTTGAGTGTGGCTATGCCCACATAAGCCCCCCCCCCCAGATCTCACTTTATGAGTATTTATAAAGTATCATATTATAAATATTATTAACGAAATTAAATAATTATGGTCCAGAAAAATGGTATAGATACCTGTGTCCTATATACTTATATATTAAAATACCTACTCCTCGTACGACTAATTTTATATTGTTTGTACTTTGGATTTATAGATTATTGTATTTACGATTTTCCACAACAGTAATTAATTTTCCAATTTAGGACGACTGAGGGTTTAGAGTTCACATTGCCGTTGAATATTATAAAAATTCACATTATTGGTGAATTAAATTTATTAATCGATATCGATATATCTRCTGAAAAACCACTCACGCGGAAGAGACGAGGATCAGATCCGTGTCCACGGTGGTTTGATTTTGATATTCACGGAAACCGGTTTCAAAGTTCAATCTTCAATAACTATTATATCAGATACTGTTTATGCCGTACATTACGTGATTGTGGCGAGCAATCGAAAATCAATAAGCATAATATACAGTGATTGGTGTAATATGGTCATATTATTGTATACGTGATAATCTCTAAAACACTCGAGTTTTGATTCATTTCTTGTAAGTTACTCAATTCGAGYGATAATTTATGGTAATGAACAAATTAAACCGTTAACGGCGATACGTATATTATGAAATATATAATATGACGCTTGATTGGTTTTACAGACTGTGTTTTGTACATTATTTTMCTCGAAAAAAATTACATTAAGTTATAAAAAGTCCTRCAGTGACATGGTACATGCGTCGTTTGATTTAAATTACTCTCTGAAACGGTATATTATTTTCTTTTTCCTTTTCGTATCAAATATGTCACACGAAAATTACACGGTTATTTTATTATTTTATCGGTTATGTATAGTGCCATAGTTGAATATCGATGCGAATTACATATTACACGTGTACATAATAATATTACAATCATCAAATAATACAATTATTTAATGTGTAGGTRTAGGTATGACGTGTAATGTGGTGTGAACAAATTACTTTTGCCTGAACGCGACGCTTCCGAAACCTGGTCGATCGAACATGCTCCCTTGATCGTGCCAGTGTACTTTATTATTGTCATCGTCGTTCTGTAGATCCATAAGGAAGTTCGGTTGCGAAATGGTGCGGTGCAATTCAAACACATCCGAAATCCTGCCCCTTTTCCCTGAAAAATGACATAAATATTATCATTAAACGTTAAATGATTTACGAGATACGGTGGTTATTATTTTATAGGTAGTTATTATTCGATGCGGACGGGCAGCAATGTATATTTAACAATATTGACACAGTTAAACAATATAAACTATTATTATAATAATAATATACTGTTTCGACCTAAAATCTATTTGCTTTATAATTGAAGACTATTGGAAATTCTTCTGAAGGTTCATCACTTAGGCACGCTCATTTATCGTTTTCTATTGTCGTTTTGTATTGGACCGGAGAATCAAAAATATTTTCAGTTGCTATTACGGGATGTTAAGATGGCGCAGTTGACAGTTTTTCCTTTTTTATAGAACTCTTTTCATAATACACTATTACAGCAGTTAGTTTGAACGGCCAAGTTTTGCATAATACTACCCAGTTCCCAGTTGGAATGTTTATAAAACAGTAACGGTGTAATGTGATTTAATGTAAAACAGAAATATATTTATTTTTAAAAAGGCTTTTACTATTTCTGTGTAAGTTTTAAGCTGCATTATTGTTATGCTAATCATTTTTTGTGATATTTTATCATTTCTTTTAAGCACTTATTCTTTACTCTAAAATATTTTTTTTCCAATTTACATTAAGAAAATCACAAATAAATAAAAAAATATGATTTTTTWATTCTATTATCAAAATATGTAGGTTTACTCTAATATAGGTGGAATCACGTGGAAATATGGAATTATAATTCATTTTTAAAAAAGTCGAAATCTTTACAAAAAAAATTATTCATGCTCTATTATAAATTCAATAATAATTTTTTGTTTTCATTTTCATTTGATAATATTATTATTATATTTTTAATATAATAACAGAAGAAATTGTTCCAAAAGATAATTGACTGCGACCGATATTGTTTATTATAATATTATATTATTATATTAAAATACACTTGTAACTACAATTTATACTTATTGAAAAAGTTAAATAAATTATTATAAGCTACAAAACCATGCATATAGTGAATTAGTTTTTTATACAGTTGTTTACGCGCATTATTACAAAACGCAAAATTATAATTCTCTTCACAAATGCGTTAGGTATGAACAACACAATGCTCAGTATGATTTTATAATAGACTTTATCGTATAATGTGTCGACTGTACGTATGATGTGGAACTCCACTTCGTATTTCGTACCTGCGAAAGCGATCGCAATCGTTTTGTGGTGAGTTTTGACTATGAATTATATGGTAGGTATAATACGTATATTAAATATTGTTACAATGTTATCTCTGATATATTTTATTGTATTTACCTCCGTTCTCGTTCTCGTACGAATTGACATAAATAATTTGCGAATCTCCGTTAGACGTTATGGTTCGTACACTCGTGCTATCCTCGACCTGTGGATCGTTTATGTAACGATAACAATAATAAATGATAAAATAACAATATGTTTGCGCAACAGCGACAATAGAATTTTTGGTAGAATATTCTCTACGGTCGTTCTATAAAATATTTATTCATGTTTTGATTTGCGCAACTTAATCAAAATAATAATGATATTATACTAATATACTATATACATCATACAAGTAGGTAATTAGTATGTGTGGATTAAACCTACTGTCGGACATTAAAATTAAAAAAAAATTTTACCTTGCCCATTTTAGTAACCTTACTAATAAATTGAATGGTAAAATTTYTTTAATACTTTAGAAGTTTAGACTTTAGAGAAACGWTTGTTAWTCCGTACAAATGTAATGTACTGGTACGACAGCAATACACACATACTTACCTACTGTGAAATTTGAATATAAGTAGTTATAATGTCATCCGGTAAACAATCCTCTCACAATTAATTAGATAGGAATGCAACATAATAATAATATACTYGCCTCTTTTATCGATTTGAACGACGRTTTGTTGGTTTTATTGTGCGTGTCCACTGCTGCCGCTGCCGCCTTCATTTTCCTGTCCAATATCTTTTTCACCCCACCAGAGCTAACAAATGGTTTTTTCACGGTACCGGATCCAACGATCTCTGTAAACGACTTACAGGACAGGTCCGATGACGATTTGCGCAAACTGCCAAAATCAATTTTTACTCATTAGGTAGTCATTTTACATAACGTTTATACTGAGAATTGGTTGCACGGTGAGAGATTCCGTTCCAAAACTGAGTCTTGTTTTAGATTCTGAGCGGAGCGAGGAATGTACCTATTGGTTTTACAATGATGTAATAGTTTATTTTTTTATTTATTTTTTATTCTGTAAACACYTTTTCTCCCTCTAAACTTGTTCAAAAGTATCAAGTATAGAATCTTTTCTGAAAGGTAATATTCTTGAGCTGGTACTTTAGACAGGTCACTTTTCGATTTTCGAAACGGTGCTCGAAATAAAAGCAGTTAAAGAAGAAAAAACGTACGATTTCATGATTTTATAAATATTAAATAATTACGGACGACGTTTTCTACCAGAAATATTGCTTCAAATGAAAAATGACGAGATTTTTTTTTTGGATTTTGTTCCTTACGGTTTAAAGTTCGGAAATTTTTGCAATTTTTGAGCTATTTATAGAGATTTTTATTTTGGGAGTTTTATTGTTGTGATTCGGTTTAAAATATTCGTAAAAACTTGAAATTTGGGTTTTATTTTATATATTTTTTCATTTTTATTATATTTCCTAATATTATAATGATATAAATTACCTATTTATATAAATCGTTCTTAGGCTGTTCTTATAACGCTTTGTTAACACCATAGAAACGAATAAACTAAAATAAAAAATATTCCCTTGTCATCCGCTCAGAATCGTTTTTTATCAAGTGCAATCATTGCATTCAAATGGAATACAGAAAAATTACACTATCCTGTCGGAGAACCGAGGGACGATGTATAAACATCCACYATCGAAATGCTGACCATTTTTTTTTTTTGTAATTGTTATAAAAATGTGTTGTTATATTTATTAACAGATGGTACTCTGTACACTGCACTAATTCGCTCAATATTTAAAATGTATGATTGCGTCTAGAAATTTATATTAAAAAATRTATATATAATCAAATTATTTTAAATTGTATTATGCTTACGACAAAGGAATTGATCGAACCGTAGGTATGGCGGTTTCCGAATCTGCTTTGTTACCACCCAAATATTCCTTTTCTACCCTTCTAATTTGCTTTTTTTCTTTTTCTCTTTCTTTTCTCGTTCGTTCTTCGTACTTCTTTTGGTTACGTTCTGCGTCTTTCTGAGCCTTTTCTTTCTTAGATTCAACTTTTTTCCTAAAAAAAAAAAACACGATAATTGTAAAACCAATAACCACTATCATTTGTACCCATTTTCTATTAGTAAAGTTGATTTACCTGTTTTGCATTATTTGAGATGCGGCCGCTTTATCCAAGTATTGGAGTACTTGCGATTTACCATGTATGGCTGCTAATTGCATTGCAGTGAGAAAGTCCAAGTCTAAAGCCCACAAGTTAACATCGAAGCCGACAAGAAAGGTCACACAACTCAAATGTCCTTTAGACGCGGCCAGATGTAACGCATTTTGTCCAAGATGGTAATTACATTTTTCCGGGTCACCGCTAAAACATTGGATGTGATTCGTTCAAAAACAGTCACACGATTTTTATTAAAGTCTTATAAGAATTATAATATTTAATCAGACATCRAGCTTGATTGTCTGTGACTAGGAGCTAAGGTTAAATTTGTATAGTAGGCTGAAATGAGTAGGTACTATTTAACTAAATTTTGAATGAGATTTTTAACGCAATAGCTGTAGATATTTTTTGATTTATACAATTTCAAATGTCTTTGTTTCTGTTGTTTATGTAAATAGAATATTTTTTGTCCGTTTATATTGTTTGTTAAAATTTCTCACTTATTCAGTTCTTTKAAGTTTTTATGAAAAGGAATCATACATAATATTGTAATAGTTACATGACAGGATGTCGCCTACAGAGATCCTGCAAAGTATCGTTAAACGTAAGTTTTTTACAGATGACTAGTATTTTTATTTGTTTATATATATTTTTTGGCTTATTACGTTGTCACTATTGTTTTTATCACACTGAAACCGAACCTATGATACCTATATATATAATTCCATCATATAAGACCGATTAGTCTTGGGATCCAAATGTCACGCTTTCCCACCGATCGTTACACAATTGATTGATTTCCTTGATTAACCGTTGATAGTACAATAAACGCGTTCGACAAAAACTTTAAAATAACGATGTGAACATGTTGCGTTGCATGTCATCCTTACCCTCTGCCAACGAGTATCCTCAACGCTTCCAGGTGACCTTTGAAAGCCGCCCAAAGGGTTGGCGTCATTCCGTCATCATCTTTGGCGTTACAATCTCTTTTGGTCGCCTCTTTCAGTAGGTTTACGAAACCGTCTTGAGCCGCTCTAAACAAAACAACAAAAATCACATAATACAATGTTAAACAATAATAATATAACTATAGCTATATGTATATTTATTATTTACAAAACTTTAAACATAACAATTTAATAATAGTATCAAATATATAAACGATGGCGCAACAATACGTTTACCGATAGGCAATATATACGTCATCAGGACCATCGATTTTTGACCCAGTGAAAGGAAAGACAATCAGCGGCCGCAATAGTAAGGCGTCAGCGGCAATGGCGTGGCGTGCCCCTAATCTCGGAGTTATTAGAAAGCAGTTGTTTTGTAATATGACTTGGGCACATCTTGCACCGGAATGTCTATTGTTGATTTTAAGTTCGTGTTCAATCGTAGAGTTTTACACTCAAATGTTTCCTCTGAACGTTATTATTTGGATTTTCGTTTCGTGCATTATAATATAATGTGCAGCGGGTATACATCAAACAGATATCAATGAGATATGTCTAACACGTCAAACTGCAGTTTCACTAAATCGTAATATAATGTCCATATTATATATATTTATATATATATATACTTCAGCCTTCACGACGGAGGTAAAAATTTCGTGTCACTGCTGTTTTAACGGAACATAATATGCAAGTCATATAACATAATAATAATTATATAGGGCTATGAATTTGTAAAATAATTCAATTTTTTAAAAATTTTTTATAATACATAGTTTTCCTAGCATGAAATTAGAATTAGGTATGTGATAATAAATTCAATTGAGTAACTTTAATTTGACGTTTTTTTTTGCATATTTTGACATTTTTGATTTTAACCGGAACTTTTCGTCTTTTTGTCMTAATATAGGTTWRGTATATTTTAACAATATTCATAAATTTACTTTTTATTTACACACATTTTACGAATTATTTTTTAKTTCACCCAATATTCAGTACTATTTTTTAGATAAAAAAAATTCAACTATGATTTTAATGATAAAGATTAATTTTATTGAAAATTCTAAATGTGTATTATTCCAAWAATAAATAGTATTAAACAAAAAGAGAGAGTTCAAAATGTGACGACGTCAAATTTGTTTGATTTAAGCGTTGTAGTTTCTTGAAAAAGTGCAAGGTTTTGATGATTTTTTTCATAATTCACAATTTTATTGTGTTAATAGTTTTCATTTCTTAAAATTGTCAAACTGTTGGCTTTAAGTTACTAACCTATATAATATTATGTTAGGTTGTAAATGGTTTTTTAAATTTGTATTCAATATAGGTTTCATTAATTATCAAGTTTAAGACCACTTTTCTTAGTGTTATTATACGAAAGTACGAAACACAGTTTGCTGCAGTATTGCTTGCATTACGTTCTCCACTTCAATAAATAGATTTTCGTTGGAATAATTCAACAAAATATTGAATCACAGTATAGAGTTCTCGTGACGATTAAAATCAAAATAGGTACTTTGTCGTGACGTCGTATGTTCGTATTTTTTTTTTTTAGATTCGATCTCGTTTCAAAAATATTTAATAACAATATATTTTATGCACTCATCGGTATAATTCTACTTCACGTACGTCTATATTGTATTTTGTATTGTAGGTATGTATATTATATATATGCACGTGGCTGCGGTGATGATGTGCCAGGAATTGTATGAAATCACTGAGTCGAGTAGGGCATTGCACCGCCGCGTAGGTAGATAATATTATAAGCATACAAAATATATTRCGGGAGTATTGTGACGTTATWATAATAATATGTGGAATATACAAAGCAGCTGTTATATGTGTAATTTTGTATAATTAATTTGATGTTGGGCTAAGGATCCTCTTGAAGGCTATCCAATCGTATATCATGCGTTTACGAAAATTAACGGATATAGGTAAACTATTACTACATTATTATAAACATATTTCGTTAAATACCTACAAATAATTAAGATATTATCTACCTATAAAAGACACACAGAAAACCTTGGACGTTTTTAATGTAATGAATTATCTGTCGTTTGACCTTTGAAATAAAATTACATMGAATGTAACAACTGTATGGTTATATTATTAATAAATTATACGCTCGTGTAATCAGCAATCATTATTATTATCACAATACGTCAAATATTCGAAGCTGATTTTTGATTTGGTAGGTAATAGGTACCAGATGATATATCGTCCAATCGTCGACGACAAAAAATTAAATATAATATATTATTACCATGAACAATACTGTATTAAGTAGCCTAAATTGCTTATTAAATTACAAGCAAGTCAAATTTTATTTTAAAGTTTTCATTAGCTTAAATGAATAGAACTCGATGATGTAAATTTATGAAAACGCATTATATTTGTTTTTAAAGAAAGTGAATAGGTATAGGTTGTAGTTAAATGTCATAATAATGCACAAATATGCCATACATATTATAATATTAATAATTTGAGTATGAATATATTACCAACTAGAAATATTCGATACAATTTCTAGAATGTGCACCTAGCAAAGAGATATGAACCATAAGAATATAAGATTCGAATTTGAGAAAGAATATAAAATAATAAAATTATAGTGTTATGATCGTCAACTGATGAGAAAAATAATTTTTTTAAGTATCTAATAAATTAATGTTACCTAGAACCATTGATTAAATAATATAAATATTGTGTATTTAATCAATGCTAGAACCATAGAACAATGATATAACACAAAATAATATTCAACAACCCTTTTTTTTTTAAACAACATAAGGTGGCTTCATATCAGTGTTCTGTAAGTTGCTAGGCGCCCCTTCCTGAAACACATTGAACCAGACACAACAAAACATATCACTTCRTTATTAAATCAATATAATATATTTACGTACCTATGCTCGAAATATAAAAATTAAATTAATTGTAATAGACTTTTTTTTAATTAAACATAGATACACGAATAATCGCAGGACTATAAATAGTATAGTAAATACTAATTGGTATAACAATGTTTGTAGACGGTAGTAATTAATTAAGAACGTTAAATTAATAAACTACTTATATATAGGCATAATGTAAGATTGCGAAATCTTTAATTTTCTATTTGCTTTRAATATAAATAATTTGTTACGAATACGAGATGTTGAGTAAATTAGAGAAGAAATCAAGTCAACTTAATTTAAAGAGAAACATAATGCTATAGTTGTGGTTTTAATGGTGAATTTATCTACCTTGACCATCATGTACCTATCCGTTGTATAAATACCATGTAATATACCCACGCAGGTGCCATATTAAACGCAATCGTAGCCAATGCGAATTTATAATAAATAGGAAAAGTGAGAATAATTGTGCTCGGGGAAAGTGTAAAACAATAATTAAAACTTAACGAATTTAATATAATATCATTATTATGAGTATCATATAGGTACGGCTCTTCATTAAAAATAATCGCATACAGCGTGGAAAATGTATGTACACCAGTACGCGTCTGCTTTGTATTGAAATATTGCATATTATATATTATAATTATTTTTGATTCCACTCAAAAGCTATTTTATTCGTTATTTACTTGTAATTTTGATATGCATTATAATAAATTACATTTTCATAATACGGATCATTACTTTAATGTATGCTCCATTTGTTGAGTTTTATATAAGCTGTACCTATTATTAGTTATTAATGTTATTATATTTATTCTTAAATATGTTCGTCAATAAATTAGCATTTCTATTGGGAATATTATAGTAATAATAAGATGTCTATACGCAAGTGCATGTACGACGCAATATCAAAATGTTCGGCACAATTCGGTCATATTATAAAAATCGAAATCCAACTTTAAAACATGCACAGATTGTTACCCACGACATATAAATTATATAATAAACCAAGTCCTTGAGTGCATTTAAAGACTTGACGGACGTCCCACCTCAAAMGCGTTGATTTTTACTGCGTTTAGAAATGATCTAGATGAGGACACAATAATACAGGCATACGGCATGACTATTCACTCTCATCGAAAACGGTCTCTTACAAATAATTCATTCATTTAATTTCGTACGAACGAAATATGCAACATTTATTTCCTTTTTTTTTTTTTTGTTCATTTTACATGCACGATATCAAACACGAGTTTGAATTAAAAAATCATTTTTCAACGAATTATAATTAACAAGTAAATTGTATAAGTATCCGTCATCACTTTTCGGGAGCAAATTATAATACAAGAAGTTTTGAATTTCTTTTTTTTTATTTGATTCCCGCGGTACCATCAAATTCAAACGTATAATGTTCTAATATATTATTATTGTCTCGTCGCATACAATGGAACTCGGTCAGTAGAAATTTTTTGGAAAAAATCAAGACGCTGTGGTATTGATTTATTTTTATTTTATTCTAATTATGTTACTGAACAATGTGTATGGTGTATAGGACGTGTAGGTATAGGTACTACACATAATACGCACACGGCACACACGCGTAAGAGGTAACAACGAGGAGAATGTGACAAATATAATATTTACAATGTATAATTATATACCATCATATTTATTGATTCGTGTGGTAGATATGTACGCCTTGCTTAGAATATCACACTAAGTAGGTAGTATTATATATGTATACATATATATCTATAATAACGTATGGGTAGGTATCACGCGCATACTGCAGAGAAAGCAATTGCTCCTACGTCTCATAAGAGCGAGTTGAATTRAAAATATTCAAAACTTTGAGTTTATATTCACTTAGCTGAGAATCAATGAACTCTAGTCTTCGATTGTATAACATTACGCATATACCTAAAGTTGTCGATAAAATTAATAGTTAGATGATCATTATATTATTGTGTTAATTATATCATTGCCGTCGAGTCTGAGTCTGCAGTGACTTTTTTTAGTATAATATTATAGACGATAACACTGATAAAGTGATGAGAGTTTTATATTTTTTTTAGCGGTTAAATCCCAGTCCAAAAGTTGTTCTTCTTCAAGCCACATATCTTCAAATGAACGTCAAAAGTATAATAAAATCTTATAACTCAATAGGTATWCTTTATGTCTTTATACAACATATTACAGTGGCATGATAGTTTTTAGGTACCAATCTAAGATGATGTCCACACCATATATTCTACTAATACAGTTCAAATATAATTAATATTGGCTGATTTGATGATATAGGYATAATTATTATTCTTGGCACGTATAATAATCATTAAAAATCAAACGATCCACTCCAACAGAACCACACTTACACTTTTTAAGTTTTATCAAATCATATATTGCTTTCTGCGCACGATTATAAAGACCCGCGGGCCATATATTTAGCCACAGACAATAAAATACCAAGTATAGTTGTGTACTTACTTATGGAATCTCGTGCTCATGATTCGTAATGCAGTTCACCTCGTCCGGATTCACTCTGATCGTCTGTAATGATAATAATAATACATAATATGTAAGAAAATGTTCAGACATTGCAGTGTTATCTTAGACCTATAATGGTCGTTCTAAGCGAGTGTTTATACCTATAAATATATATCGTATTATCGACAAATAATAGCACACCGAGTTTTAATTTATAATAATATGGGAACTACACGTTGACTCATGATCACATATAATACAAAATATATTTGGACAGGTTCATGAATATTMAATKAATTATATAGGYGAATGGAGATTTAAGATGTGTATCGCTATTCGCTATTTGATAGACATTTTAAAATTAAAAAGGAAAATGCAGCCTGTATAACGCAATATGCAATACCTAATGGCAAAATTAGAGAGATGATTTCGAAAGGGCTTACAACCAGTGGCGTGGTTCTATGGTTTGCGAGTCCCAATACAATTTATAGATTTTAGGTCCACGGATAACTAAAATATCGTAACTTTAATATACAATCTTAATCCATAATTTATTGATTATTCTAAATTATTCTTTTCAGTTTAATAGWAGGTATACCTACACCATCTATATACGTATACATAGATATTATTATATCATGAATAAATACAAATGTTTCTCACGAAATAGCGTAAGACCCTTTACGGTCACACTGAATGTGAGGTATTTTGTRGCCGTATACCTCTAGCGATAACACTGCTTACAATCCCTTCTCTCACAACCCAAAAAAATTTAAGCYAAATTTTAGCTACTAATTTTTTTCTAATTAAAAAAACCATCAATTGTGGTATTTAACAACCGACTTTTTATAGAAATCAATCTATACGAAATGAAATTCAGCGTACATACACTACAGTGGCACAGTATAACTGGCCTACATATTTGTGCATTTATATTTATACACTGCATAATATTTTGTGTAACTGTATAAGTACCACGTTAACGTGACAAAACGTATCTACGAGCCTTCGTAACGCTTGTTCATTAACATTAGTACATTATCAATGTAACAGAATACTTTTTATACCTACCGACRGTATAAATAAATATAAATATTATAGATATTTTATACCTAGTATAAAGTTGACAGAATATTTCCTCTTTTATATTAGTATAGATATATTAAAATTATAGGTACATATTATAGTTCCGAATATATTACAATAATATGTTTTTATTTGTACCGAGATGACATTTCTATTATTATACTATGCAAACGATTTAAATAAGTATTTCTTTTCATCAAATATTGTATTATATTTTTCCTAATATTCAAACTCAAAATAACGCTCGATTTAGTCTATTTTTTCAGATGGTTTAATTAATCGTAATAAATCGTCGTAATATACTGTAAACAATATAAACTAAATAAACATAGGTACTATTCGCGGAACAGCATWAACTACTAAATTATTAGCTTATAACAAAATAAATATTAGCTTAACTAAAAATGGTTATAATGGTTTTCTTAGATTAAGTTGTAAGTATATCAATATGTCTTAAAAATGAAATGATTTGGTTGATGTTGTCTTCGATTAGGTTAAAGGCTTCGAAGAGATTCATATAGACATTCCTAGACTTATTCTGGTTTCTATGTGGTTTCGATAGTAAACAATGAGGTGCTTAACTGTGGACATTTTTGAGTGACCTATACGTAATATGTTAATAATTACTTCATTTTTGAGATTGAATGAATGGTGTTTGGTTCTATATATGGTAGGTTTTGATTCTTTTGAATTTATTATTTGGTGTAAGTCCATTCAGATTTTCATAAATTGGTAAAATAGGTGCTATTATTCCTATGAAAGTCAGTAAGCGAGGAGTAGGTGCGTGTTTTCGTCATAAGGTTATTAACTATTTCATGAACGGCTTTATCAGCTTTTTCATTGGTATCAATTGCATAATGGCCTGGTGTCAATATAATATATCTTATGTTCTTGTGAAATTTTTCTATGAAGTTACTTATTTTAATTGYTAGAGGGCGAGTTATACTTAAGATTTTTAAGAGCGCAGAGTGAATCTGTAYAAATATTAATGGTAGAATCGGGCAATTTGRTGGCTATGTGGACTCTGGAGGAGTACTGTAGTACTACTGTATGATATTATAGATTACTAGTAGCTTATACGATAARTATTGATTAAATAGCGATCGYAACACCTGAATTGAATTGGTTTTGRAAGCGTCTGTATAAGTTTGTGAGTTAGTTGGATGATGGAGAGTTTAAGATTTTATTGAAAACATATAACATATACGAGTAGGTACTATTATAATATTAATATCAAAAAATGTTTAAAAAAATTAGATTTTCGACCCTCATCTCACTTGTATTTTATATATTTTATGTTTTTATTTTTTTAATATTAGTATATTATTTTTGCATAAAATAATTAAATCAAGTTTTATATCAATAGGCCATGCCATTCGCGTATGAAGGTCATAAATAATTTTTTGAAATTTTTGTCATTATCCTTTTAAACTATTAATTGGTTATTCTTATTGTTAATAATCATATAWATAKTAAACTAACGTCTAATAAAAGTATAATTATTGATCAACATTTATTATATTATCAGTATCTGTTATTTTAACTTATTTATATTCGCATCATCCAATATGATAAATTGTGCATAATATGCATAGTTAATAATCTAGAATAAAAGTAAGTAGGTGTATACTGTGTAATATAAACTGCAAACCCACAATACACAATACACTATTAGTACCTATATACAAATGTAAATAATAATATGTCTTGTCCGACAAAAGATCAGTCAACGTGTTAATTTTCAAACGGGCGATGTTTTTTTTATTAAAACTACGTTTAAAAATCAAATTCAACAATAACAAATATTTAATATAATTTCAATTGCATAAATAATARTGAAAGAAAATAAATTAGGATATATTATGTGTGTAAATTTAACACGTGCAAAGTAATCGTCGCACCAAATCATAGAATAAAAGTAGTACATTTATAGCTATAACGCCGTCGTCGCTCTTATTCGTTTTAGAAATATATTGTGAATATTTGAATCGGAACTAATTTTTCACGATAAATTTTCATTCATT